GGTGGTCACAACCTGGCTGTTCCCGTGTGAGCTCCCATGATAGTCAAGGAAAGGGTTCCATACCTGAAGCATGGGCATTTGATCATTATTTGGGGCCATTTGGGGTGTTTCCACTGCCTGCACTGAGAACTGCAGGGCAAGGCCTTGTCTGAGGAATGAGCCTGTGTGGAGGAGAAAGGTTTGGGTGGATAAAAAGAGCTAACGAGAGACCTTGGAGGTGAAAGTAGGGTGTTGCAGGAAGCACGGCCGAAAGCACGACAGACACCAGTAGAGTCAGATCATGCTCCATTTTATTGCCTGAATAGCCTAACTTTTATAGTGAACTTAACAGGGGTGGATAGTGTCTCACACAAGATTATTGGTCAAAAGCACTCAGACAAACAACTACAAGAAAACAACCCCACCTGCAAGAAAACAACCCCTTTGTGATTAGCAATCACGTAGACCTTGTCCTTGAAGCCAGATGCTGGTAACAATATTTTCCTAAATTCCTCAACTGGGCAATGTGGGAACACTGTCATGGGAACTTCTCATAGTTGCCCTGGTAGCTTGGTTTGCTCAGCTGCAGCAAGCCATGGGATTTTTGCTGTTTCAAAAAATCCCTCAACAGTAGGGTGCAGAAAGCTGAGGCTCTGCAGAAGTGGAAAGGGTGGATGTGTCTGAAAGTGCACGTCGAGCTCTGCTCCCTCTCCAAGGACAACTCAAACAAATGTGGAGAACCATTAAGAAACAGAGAAAGCTCTCACTCCTCCATCTCACCTAGAAGAGGGGAACAGGGAATGTTTCTTGGTGCTTGCTTGTCTCCAATGTGTTAAGGAAGCATCAAACACAAACTGCCCTTGTTACCAAAGCTGTATGCAAGACCAGAGGAAGGGTACTCATGTCCTGTGAATCTCCAAAACTGGATGTCATCCTGATCTTCTCAGCAGCTCCTGAGGAGGAACATAGAGGAGGAACACATCCCTGTCCCCCAGCCTCCACCTTCTGCCTTTGAGACATTGTGTGGATGCAAAACACCTACCCTGCAGGTGATGCTGGTGTGTCAAATGCTTGGAGACCTCCTTGCCGAGGTTCACTGTGTTACATGTGGTGTTGGCTTCACCATCTGATTCAAATGCCTAGATGAGGGGCTCTTCCCCTTCTACATTTTCTTTTGTTGCCTCCTGAAAAGGTGATTCCCCAGCTGATCTTGCTGCTAGCAGTGAAACTCTAGGTTCTTGCTGTGTCCTCCCTGTGCAAGCCAGTCTGAAGACAGGTGGGGGAGAAGATAGTGGAGAAAGGGAAGAGTACATTTCCATGATGTCCATGGCCTCTTCCTTCTGTCAAGATCATCAGGGGAAGTGTTTAATGAAATCAGTTTCCACTAAGACTCTGGTAAAACCCAGTACCCCTCTCTCTCCCTTCAGCCCATCCTCTCCCTTTGCCATCACCTCACGTTTGCCTGATGCTCTCTCCCCTTCCTCTCTTCATCGCCTATACAGCTATCGACCAAATGCCATGCTATTACTGTGCTGGAGAGCAGACAGGTGAAAGACACTGCTGCAGGGAACCAGTTCCTGTGCTGAGACCTGCATCCCATTATGCAGCATCCCCCCCCTCCTAAATTATTCTTGGATCCTTCATGACTCCTAGTGCAGTTTCCCCTGGAGCAGGAGATTTCTCTGCACATCAGACAAACCCATTTCTTTTCCCTCAGGACATTCTCTGCCTCTGGTCGTGGCTGCTGTGGCTGCTGCTCTTCACATTCAGGGCAATATCCATGGTGCTGTATGGATTATCTGCATGAAAAAAAAAAAAAGCGAGAGGAGCTACAAGACCACAACTGGTCTCCAGATAAAGGCCTGGAACCTGGAGAGTTAACAAAAGTAGCAGATGAAGCCAGAACACTTTGGAGGACTGGCTTCCCTCCCAGACAAGAGCAAACTGACCTCTGAGCAGTTGAAGTGTTCTTATCATCACACAATCAGGTGCTCAGAAAGGTCTGATGCTGGAGAGCATGGGGGAGCTGCTTATATTTCTCCTTCTGCAAGGAGAGAATGAACAACCCCTGCCTGTGCCTATCTCACCAGGAGGGCTGTCTCACAAGGTCCTCCCCTGAAATTTGGAACACCTTTTCCTTCCCTGCACAGTGAGTGCCCTCTTCAGGAGTGACACCGCATGGCATTTGCATGCACGGAGCAGCACAAGAGCACAGTGAACAGAGGCAGCAGTTTGCTCAGCAGGGCACAGGATTTTCCCATGTTTCCAGTCCTAGAAGTGTTGACATTTGGAAGTCACCCCACAACCATAGGGTTGTAAAGTAGTTATACTTTATTGCAGTGCACCGGGCGCACTGGGAATAGCTTCCCTCAAAAAGTGTGCAGCTGCCCAGCGTTCTCTCACAATTTTATACATGAATACTGCTACATATTACATGAGCTCTAATACATATTCATTCTTTTCCCTGAAAAGGCGGACCTCTTCCTAGTAGTGCTCATTTCCAGACTCCCCGCCCTTAGCTCCTCCCAGTTCTGCTTGCGCAATGTAGCCTGGTGTTCGAGGGCAGGAGTACTTCAGGATGAAGGCAACAAGGAAGAGGAGGTTAAACTTTTTACCTTCCTGGGCTTTGACCTTATGTTGGACAGTATTTAGGAGTTTTTTGCTTATCTTTGCCTTATTTTCTGCCAGCGAGTTGTTCATCCTTCCCTTATGCGTTGGCCTTGAGTGATATCTTCCTTTTTACATCTGCTTCTCATAAGTTTCTCATCTACATATCCCCAATAATATGGATTTATCATATATGGATATATCATATATGGATATACGATATATCCATGCTTGGATACATGGTGGTTTGGAAAGACTGACAAAGGTTGTCCACGAGTCAGACTATTACCCTCTGTTGCTGGAGTAAAGTTCTGCAGAGAGGGACCTGGGCATCCTGATGGACAGAAAGCTGACCATGAATGTTCCCTTGTGGCCAAAAAGGCCTAGGAGATGCTGGGCTGCATTTGGAAGAGGGTTGCCAGCAGCTCAAGGGAGGTGATCATGCCCCTTTGCCCGGCCCTGCTGAGGCCACACATGCAGTATTGTGCCCAGTTCTGGGCTCTCCAGTACAAGAGGGACGTGGAACTACCAGAGCGAGTCCAGAAGAGGGCTACAAAGATGATAAGAGAACTGGAGCACCTGCCCTACTAGGACAGGCTGAGAGAATTGGGCCTCTTAAACCTGGAAAAGAGGAGACTGAGGGGAGACCTCATTAAAGTATATAAATTTCTGAGGGGAGGGTGTCAAGAGGACGGAGCTGGTCTCTTTTCAGTTGTGCACAGTGACAGGGCGAGAGGCAATGGGCACAGACTGAAGCACATGAGGTTCTGTCTCAATACGAGGGGCACTTCTTTACTGGGAGGGTGACAGAGCACTGGGACAGGTTGCCCAGAGAGGTTGTGGAATCTCCTCTGGAGATATTCCAAACCCACCTGGATGCCATCCTGTGCAATATGCTCTAGGTGATCCTGCGCAGCAGAAGGTCAGGCTAGATGACCTTCAGAGGTCCCTTCCAACCTCAGCCATTCTGTGATTCTGTGGCAAGTCCACCATGGTCATCATGTTTTCCAACCCTTTCAACTACCTCATATCCCACGTTGAGTTTTGGCCGTTCTGTGATTCTGTGAACACACAAGCTCTAGATGCTGCAGGAAGCTGCATCCAAAAATATGCAGACGCACAGCTCTGGGAAATTCAGTGTAAGCACCAGAGGCTGGCTGTTTTGTTATCACGATTGTAAGAAGCCCCAGGGGAGCTGCTCACACTGCTTAGGACATCACGGAAGGAGTGGGAATGCACGAGGATGCTGAGCAAATACCAGTGTGTCCTGTAAGCTAAGTGGGCACAGCAAGTTATGGCTTAATTTTCCAATATTTTTTAGGTATCAAGAAATCATACCCTAGTAACAGATATTTATTTATTTATTTATTTATTTATTTATTTGTTTGTTTATTTTAACAGCTAGGGAACAAGTATTTGGCAGAAGGAGCTTTTTTGCCTTCCATCCTCCATATGAAGTTCTTCTTAGCCACTTGCAATCCTAGAATCCTAGAATCATGATGCAGCTTCTGCTCTGGCTCCTGGAGCCCCTCCTGCCCTCCTTCTTCACTGACCTGGGTGCCTGCAGGGTTCTTTCTCTCTCACCTTATCTCATAGCTTCTGCTGTCCCTTTTCAACCTGTCTGGAACTGGCTTGTCTCTAACATGGGGCAGCTTCTGGTCTTTTCTCACAGAGGCCACCCCTGCAGCTCCCCTGTGCTACCAAACCCTTGATGTGGAAGCCCAATACAAGGATTTTCATTTATTTATGTATTTGTTGGTTTATTTTGAGGAAGTTGGGAATGATGGCAGGGCCACAGGAGGGTGGTGGCTGCAGGTCCAGGGCATGGACACGGGCATGTCTGCAGGCCGGAGGAGCCTCACAACCCACATTTAAAATCATATAAGCATTTAGTTTGTAAAAACCCTCTAAGTCCAACTGTTAGCCTAACACTGCCAAGTCTACCACCAAAGCAGGTCCCCAGGCACCATCTCTACATGTCTTTTGAGTACCTACAAGGATGGTGACTCAACAGCTTCCCTGGGCAGCCAGTTCCAAAGGTCCACAACCCTTTAAGTAAAGAAAGTTCTCCCCATATCCAACCTAAACCTCCCCCTGTGCAACATCATATGTTACAGAGGGGGTAGGTTGTTATGCTGGACCTAAGCTAAGACTGTACCCAAGCGCTGCAACTCTCCCAGTCCTTCCTGTCCCCTCTCTCTTGTCCTCTTGTGAAATGTACCCATAGGACATCTCCAAAGTGCCCACAGTGTCTGCTCCCAGAGCATGTTTGCTCATCACCAAGGGTCAAGCTGAAAGCAGATTCGGTTCCCCCTCAGAAACTTGGCTCCATGTGCTGCAAGTGCAAGCAGGGATGGGAGGAACAAGCAGCGGGGAGGAGCAGTGTGGGAAGCATCCTCCTGTAGCTGCCTCTATCGGTCTTTGCTATATTTCCTCCCCAGCTGGTAAGGGTGGACCTGAGCTCAGCCCCTGCTGAGCCACCTCCTCCTTTATTCCTGCTGGACTGGTAACAACTTCTCAAAAATTCTGCTGCTGCTGGATGAAGCACCCATGGGTGAGAGGCTGTCTGCTCGCGCTGGGCTTGGGACTGCAGAGGTCGTCCTCATCCTAGCAGGGCTGTGTGGTGAGTGCCTTGTGCAGTCTCCTCCCTGTGCTGGCTGCAGTCTATGTTTTCAGAAACACCATGTTGGGTTGCTGCTTCTCTTCATTTCTGTGCAGCTTAATTATCGTTATAAGGTACTTGTCTAGAGCAACCTGCATGGGCTTTGTGGAAGCTGCTGGAAGTGGCATAGATGCAGAACTCCCAAGCCCTCCTGCCAAGGGCAGCTCTCTTCCAGCTGGTTGCTGCAGAAGGCTTGAGTTTTCCTCAGAAGTGCTGATACCTTCTAGAAGGTGGATGTCACAAAGTGGGAGAAATTTTTATAGTGGTAGAGTCACGTGGCAAATTAGGAATGAGAAAACAACCTACTGGGAATGGAGAGGAGTGCTGCCCAGCTGCCCTCATCATACATTGATGATCAGAAGAAAACAGTGAATTGCAAAGGGATGGCAGAGGGAGCCAAGTAAAAATTGGGAAAGGTATAGAAATCAAGTGTGGTGAGTGAGTGCGGTGCTGCCTTCTCAGTAGTGTCAACTATGTGTTGTAGAGCTTGAATGGCTGAAAAAAAAGAGGGGGAATTGGAAATGAGGGGTAGTAAATGGTGTGGGGTTGATCTGCTTGGGCCAGACTGATCTGAGGAAGCAGGATAGGGGTTTGCAGAAATAAAGGAAAATAAAGGACCTCTTATGTTCCTTATGCTGTGGTAAGACTGTTCATTCAATAAAGCCAACCGAGATTTGTGAATGCAACATTTCTGGCCCATGGTGCTCTGAGTGCACAGCCTCACTCAAAATTGCTCCAACAAAGTGCCTGCAATTCAACTATTCGCTACTTTTTTTAAAAAAAATATTATTTTTATTTATTTATTTATTTATTTTGAGTAATGTAAATTCATCCTGAAGCCTGTTCACTTGAAAAAATTGGTCTTAATGTATTTTGGTTTTCCTTGTTTTGAGGGACCATATTTTCACCTGTCAGTAGGTGGAACAGCCTGGGGTTTGCTCAAGGGCTATCTGTCACGTGTCCTTGCCAAAATTATGATAATAAAGTTATAAGTGCTTGTGTCCTCCTCTTGCTGGTTCATCCCTATTCCTTTCAGCCAACAGGTAGAGACCGTCAAGATGCTCCTTAGCATTTTTTTTTGAAGATTTCCTACTAACTTTTCCTTCCCTTTGCTCTCCCTCATTGCCAGCATCAAGTCCTGCCCAAATAAGACTTGTGAATGGCCCTGACCCCTGCACGGGGCGACTGGAGGTGTTTTACAATGGCACCTGGGGGACGGTGTGTGACGACCACTGGAGCCTCGCGGAAGCCCGTGTGGTGTGCCGGCAGCTGGGCTGTGGGATGGGCCTGTCTGCTGTTGGCGGGGCTCGGTATGGGCGAGGAGAAGACCCCATCTGGCTGGACAATGTGCAGTGCAGCGGGACAGAAGCTGCTCTTTCTGAGTGCCGGGCACGGCCCTGGGGAGATCACAACTGTGGGCATGGGGAAGACGTCAGCATTGTGTGCTCGGGTGAGTCTGGCTCGTACCGCGTCTTGGACCAGATGACCTCCAGAGGTCCCTTCCAACCTAAACCGTTCTGTTATTTGGTTCTGCAACAACAGCTGGAGACAGATGAGGGATGAAATTATGGGCAGGACAACTACTGTTCATCCTAGGAAGATGTGCTGCTAATGTCAGGTGGTCCTGATCACAAAGCAGCCCCATGGACCATGCAAGATCAGTCTTAGAAGACAGGTTTCTGTCTCACACCGTTGTTTCCAATGGGTGCCAGATCAGAATTATAGAGTGGTTTGGGTTGGAAGGGACTTTTAAAGATCCAACCCTCCTGACATGGGCAGGGTAACCCTTCACTACATCCGATTTCTCAGGGCTCCAGCCAATCTGACCTTAAAGATTTCCTCTTGGGGGCATCCACCTCCTCTTCAGGAAAGCTGCTCCAGTGTTTCACCAGTCCCATAGTACAGAATGTCTTCCTTATATCTATGGCTTGAGTTCACCTCTCTGAATATCCCTGTCTGCAGTCATCTGCTTTGGAACAGTGCAGTGCACTGTTATAATGAGGTCTAATCAATATGGTTAAAAGTGTTGGGACATAAGTCATGCCGTCCTAAAGCAGCATTTGCTGGAGCACTCAGTTCTCCATCAGCACCTATTTTAGGAAGAGATGGACCTCTTGTCACCCCCAGATGATGTTGTTGGCTGGGTGTCCTCTGATTGTGCTGTGAGTGTTGGCACCTGGCTCACAGATTTTGAGCTGAATCCTGCCCCTACAGGTAGGCAGAATTACTTCCCTCACATGATTTTGCAAAGAATTCACACTCTTCACACTTGCTCCAGATAACTTCCAAATGTTGTTCTTGGATTCAAGACCTCTTTACATCTGTCATGGAGTCTGCATTCCCCTGACTATTTCTCAGCTTCAACACCTCCTGACTTCACAGGGAATAAACCCTTCATGGGTATACCCTGACTGTCAGACACTGTCCAGAAGGGCCTTTGAGAATAAACTGAGCCTAAGAATTGTAGGCAACTGCATGCTCAGCAAAGTTACTGATCATTTGCTCCTAAGCACTGTAAGCAGCTGCTTTTCCAGCAGAGGCTCTGACTGTTTTCTCCTTGGTGGTGTTTGCAGGGGCACCCGCTCCAAGTCTGACCCGTGCCAGGCTGGTGAATGGCTCTGGCCCCTGCTCGGGCAGAGTGGAAGTCTTCCATGACAGCAGATGGGGCACCGTGTGTGATGATGGCTGGAACCTGCTGGATGCTGAGGTGGTGTGCAGGGAGGTGGGCTGTGGCTCAGCTCTATCAGCTCCCCCTGGCGCTGCCTTTGGGCAAGGGGCAGGACCCATCTGGCTGGATGAAGTGACCTGTGCTGGGACAGAGGCTTCCCTTTCTCTGTGTCAGGCCAGTTCCTGGGGAAGTCATAATTGCAAGCATAGTGAGGATGCTGGTGTTGAATGCTCAGGTAACTGCCTCTCCCCCCCCGCCCTCCTCCCCCCCCTCCCCCCCCCCCCCCCTTTTTTTTTTTTTAAGGGATTAGTGGAGAAAAAAGAAGAGTTTGAAATGTTCCTAGTTGTAGACATGTACATTGTAGCCCTGCAAATGGAGCTGGGAGAAAACCTGTGATGGGCTGATGTGTGCAAGGGAAATGAACAGGGAGCTTCAGAGGTGGTACTCATCCAGATGTTACACTCGTGGGATGAGTGGGGAGGAGATGAGAGCCCTAGGGAAGCCTGCTCTTCTCAGCTTGTGTCTGCAACCTTCTCACCCTCCAGCTGTGAGATTCTGTGATGATTTAAGCACTGGGCTTCCTGCTCCCAGGGCAGCTCCAGTCCTGGCCTGGATATCCAGATATTTGGTGCTTGTCTCTTTCCAGAACCAACTCAAGTACGTTTGGTGAATGGCTCCAGCCATTGCTCAGGGAGAGTTGAGATCCACCACAACCAGCAGTGGGGGACAATTTGTGATGATGGCTGGGACCTGAGAGATGCAGAGGTGGTGTGCCGGCAGCTGGGCTGTGGGATGGCCGTGTCAGTCCCTGGCAAGGCTCACTTTGGGCAAGGACACGCTCCCATCTGGCTGGATGAGGTGAACTGCACAGGGACAGAAGGCGCCATCACAGAATGTAGATTGGAGCCCTGGGGGGAACACAACTGCAATCACAACGAAGATGCTAGCGTTGTGTGTTCAGGTAAGTGACCAGGTCATGGTGTCAGAAAGGAAAGTGAATCTAATTTTAGTCTGTTCCCTGCATACATGTTGTTCTCCTTTGTGTATGATGCCATTGCAAGCAGCAGTGCTTGGGAGGTGAGGTAACTCCACTCCTGTAGGCATCAGCACAGATTATCTGGATGCACCCTTGCGTGTCTGTGCTAATCCTCTATCTGACACCGTAAAATGTCTCTTCTCAAGTGGCTTGCCATGTCCATCATGTCATCATCCTCTCTGTATGTTGAAATGTGTGCACTCAGATGAGTCATTTGGCCTTTGACACTTGCCATACGTGGCTGCAGGCTATTCCATTTCTACGTGCCAAATTTCTTTTGGATCTTTAGAGGTGGTGCAAGATTGGAAGATATTTATTAATTTATCCCTTTCCCTCTTTAGAGCCCACAGAACTGCGGCTAGTGAATGGCCCAAATCGCTGTGCTGGGCGGGTGGAGGTGCTTCACCACCAGCAGTGGGGCAGTGTGTGTGACAATCACTGGGACATGGAGGATGCCAAAGTGGTGTGTCGGCAGCTGGGCTGTGGTGCTCCAATCTCTGCTCCAGGCTGGGCCAAGTTTGGCAGAGGCTACGATCCCATCTGGCTGGAGAAAGTGACCTGCTCGGGGACTGAGGCTGCCCTTAGTGAGTGCGAAGCCCAGACATGGGGAGTCCACAACTGCCACCACGGGGAAGACGCCAGTGTGGTGTGCTCAGGTAACCCTCTGCCACATTCCTCCTGCCTGTCTTCACGGAGACCTCTGCTGCCCCTTAGACACGGATGTGTCTTCTTCAGAAGGCAAGGGGATAATAATAAGATTCCTGCTGCCAAGAAGCGTTGCGAGGAGGATCCCATCACTGCTGCTTCTCCCATTTTTCCTGGCTCATTTTCAGCTTGAGTGAATAGTCACTGAACTTCTTGCGGAGCTCCCATGGTGCAAAAACCTGTGCTGAGTCTCATGGGAATCCCCGTCTAGTAAAGGCATGATATCAGGGAGCTCAGAGCACAGAGTCACCATCTCTTGCAAGATCCCATGCCCAAGCTTGTCTCCACCAACTCTTCCTGAAGGTGTTTTTTTTTTTTGTGTGTGTGTATTCCTTTGTTTCAGAACCAGAGGTGGTTCGGTTGGTGAATGGCCCAAGCCGCTGTGCTGGGAGAGTTGAAGTCCTTGAGCAGCGCCAATGGGGGACGGTGTGTGACGATGCCTGGGACCTGCGTGACGCAGAAGTGGTGTGCCGGCAGCTGGGCTGCGGGACAGCAACTGCAGCTCCAGGCTTGGCTTACTTTGGCCAGGGACATGGTCCCATCTGGCTGGCCAAGGTCAACTGCACGGGGACAGAAGCTGCCCTCTCCAAGTGCAGGGCCAGGCCCGAAGGAGTCCACCTCTGCCACCATGGAGAAGATGCTGGTGTGGTGTGCTCAGGTAGCTGTTGATCATCTGCCCATGAGCTTGTGGGTTCCAACACTGCAGGAGCTCAGTGGATTGCTTTTCCTTTCTTCTCTATGTCACTGCTCTTCCCACATGTGACTCTTGAACTCCAAGGCTAGACCGATGCTGAACAAGTGGGGATTCCCCCTCGCTGTCATATCAGGCACTTGGTCTCTCCTTTACCAGGTCCGGCACCAAGAGATGACGTGCTCTGCCTCTTTCCATTTCAGAGCCTCCTGAGGTCCGGCTGGTGAACGGCTCAAACCGCTGCTCTGGGAGAGTCGAGGTGCTGCATAACCAGCAATGGGGAAGTGTGTGTGATGATGACTGGGACCTGGATGATGCACAAGTGGTGTGCCGGCAACTGGGCTGTGGTACAGCTATCTTGGCTCCGCATGCAGCTCAGTTTGGGCTGGGGAATGACCCCATCTGGCTTGATGATGTGAACTGCGCAGGCTCAGAGGCTGCCCTCTCTGAGTGCAGGGCCAGGCCATGGGGCGAAAACAACTGTAACCACCGAGAAGCTGCCAGTGTGGTGTGTGCAGGTAAGCCACCTTCATTCCTTCATCACAGAATCACAGAATTTCTCGGTTGCAAGAGACCTCAAGATCATCGAGTCCAACCTCTGAGCTAACACTAGGAAGTCCTCCACTAAACCATATCACTAAGGTCTACAGCTAAACGTCTTTTAAAGACCTCCAGGGATGGTGACTCCACCACTTCCCTGGGCAGCCCGTTCCAATGCCTAACAACCCTTTCGGTAACGAAGTTCTTCCTAAGATCCAACCTAAAACTCCCCTGGCGCAACTTAAGCCCATTCCCCCTCGTCCTGTCTCCAGGCAGGTGGGAGAACAGACCAACCCCCACCTTGCTTCATGGTGCAGCTCTGGAAGGAGCAATGTTGGCAGCCCTGCTGGACTCAGTATGTTGCTGTGTCTCTTATGGGAAGCCTATGGATAGCTCTATTTTGCTCGTGTCTCTTGCCTCTGTATAGAGACCTATTTTCAGGTCCCTTTACACATTGACCCTTCTCACTACCTTTGGTCCATGTAGTCTTGATGGACTGCCAGGCTCTTGCTCTGTATTTCCATAGCACTATGTTGCCATAGCACTTTAGGTCGATGTTCAGGTTTCTCCACGTGAACTACGTGGCTGAGCCACCCCCTCCTGTTCAAGTCCAGGGTGGCCTTGTTGATACAGCTAATGAATGTTGAATGAACTCCAGACTGGTGTAGGTCTTCCATTTGTCCCTGTATCCTGTCTGTTCCCTCCTCATGGTTTCTTTGGATGCCTGAGAACACATCAAATGGGATTAGATACCTGTGTTTATGCCAACGGGAGCCTTCACATCACATTGTACCTGGCTACCACTCAAGGTCCTGTCTTCTACTTGGTTTTTGACCTGCATTTGTCTTTTGAATTCCAGGACCACTCCAGCTCCAGCTGGTGAATGGCTCCAGCCGCTGCTCTGGGAGGGTCGAGGTCCTTCGTAACCAGCAGTGGGGGACTGTGTGTGATGACGACTGGGACCTGAGAGATGCAGAGGTGGTGTGCCGGCAGCTGGGCTGCGGGATGGCCGTGTCAGCTCCAGGCTCAGCTGAGTTTGGGCAGGGCTCCAGCCACATCTGGCTGCAAGGTGTTGAGTGCACAGGGACAGAAGCTGCCCTCTCTGAATGCAGCTCCAGGATGGGGCAACAGAGTTATTGCAACCATGGTAAAGATGCTGGTGTTGTGTGCTCAGGTAAGTTTTTTTCTTGAATATCATTATTCAGGAGAGCATTGGGGTGTGCTAGAGGAAGGAAGAGCATGACTTTGCTGGTGACTCACTCTCCTTTGATTCTGGGTAATGCCAAGCCCCACAGAAGAGTTCAGGTTGCTGTTCTGCAGAGGTTTGGTCAGTGGCTGGGCTTGCCAGTGAAACCTTAGGGAGATGGGAGATCCTGAAAGAGGTTGAGCTGGTGATGGGAATGAGAATCTGAGCAAAGCAATGGGAGACACAACCGAGCCTCCAAGGGATGGGAAGAATAAGGCTTTGTTTAGGGACCTAGAGGATGGGTTTTAAAGTTTGATGTTATCAAGAAAACAAGTAAAAAATGTCAGATTAAGAACAGGTAGGAAGAAAGGCTCATCTTACAAAGATCAAAAAGGGAGATTTTTACAAATTGCTCTGTTTTTATTCTTTTCCAGCAAGCATGCCCGAATTTTCTCTGTCACAGAAGTTTTCTTATTGTAGTTGGTACTAATTACATCTTAGCTTTAAATATTCAAAGTCCCTCCGGAGTTTGGGGATGTTCAGTATAATAAAGGAATCAGACACCTCCTTCACAAAGGTCCAGGTAATTCAACATCTCTGAACACCATGAGAGCAGCAGCATGCCTGCTTGCACTTTGATGCTAAAGGAGTCCAAATTGCAAGGTTGTTGGCTAGTGCAGAAGCTTTTTGGCATGTCATTTTCAGTGGCTGGAAATGCATACAGAAGTTCCTCAGTTACAAATGTCATAAAAGGTACAAAAATCAGTGACATGCATTAGCTATATGATCTCTGTGAGCAGTGCAGACATGCATGGAGGCTTCCAAAATGTGCATGATTTTTATTTTTTTTTCCAGATCCTGTGGCACTACGACTGGTGAATGGCTCGAGTTTATGCTCTGGGAGAATCGAAGTGCTCCACAAGCAACTGTGGGGAACCGTGTGTGATGACGGCTGGGACATGAATGATGCTGCAGTTGTGTGCAGGCAGCTGGGCTGTGGGGTGGCAGTCTCAGCCCCTGACAGAGCTTGGTTTGGGCGAGGGCATATTGCCATCTGGATGGATGACGTGAACTGCACAGGGGGGGAAGACAACCTCTTGGAGTGCCTGGCCAGACCATGGGGGGAACACAATTGTGACCATGGGGAAGATACTGGTGTGGTGTGCTCAGGTAAGGTGGCCCTGTTGGTATGGAAAAGCCTTTGGGCATGCAGGTGTCATCTCCTTGCTGAATTAGTGCTGCTCTGAGAGTGCATGCTTGCTGGTGGCTGAGGAGGCAGAGACAAATGGAAAATGAAGATGGAATTTCCTTCAACACAAGCTGAGTCTGACCTTGCTAGACTCCACCTGACCTACAGGATTAGTGGATCCATGGTCTCTGTGGTCAACACCATGGTCACCATGCACCATGGTCAACAGTGTCATCCCAGGATGTGGGTAACTTGAGTATGTGCTCAACACAAGTTGCAGGGATGATCATGACAATAGGGATAAAAATGACGAAAACCTTTCAGAAAGGCTGAAGGAGAAAAGACTACACCATGGGGAATATCCTTACAGCTGAGCTGGGAAGCTGAGAGTCATGATTGGCAAGACTTGTCCTGGCATTCCCATTTGCTCCACTCTTTCCATCCACTTTTGGACAAATCTCAAAATGTGTTCTCCTCATGGCCAGTAAAATAGCAAGTTGTCTCTAGGACATCTGTACGCAGTGAATTATCCTGGAATGGATGCACTTGCCTGGGAACCACCCAGACTGAGGTACTCTCCTTTATGCATCTGGTACATCCTGCAGAACACTCCATCTTAACTGGTCACCCAGGTTTCTTTAAGGAAAGAAACCCGTGGTTGTGGGATGTGGTTTGCAGAAAGGACCATTTTGCAGTCATCCAGCCCTGCCAATGCCCACTGCAAATAAGTTGCTCTACAGAATGGACAGTCAGACCAATGGCACCTTGAGTGACCTTGACTTCCCCTTGAGTGGTCCACCAAAGTGGTCCACCTCTGAGGCAAAGGCAGCTGTGATGCACAGGGACCTAACAGAAGCTCTCTTGGTGTCTCCTCTTTGGAATCATATATGACAGAATAATACAGATTGGAAAGGATCTCTGGAGAACACCGATCTAGTCCTCCATTCACTGTGAGACCAACTAAACCTTGTGAATGGCCTTGACCAGTGAAAATGTAAAAGTCCCCAGGGATGAGGGTCCTAGTGCCTTTCTGGTCTCTGTTACAATATTTAACCATCCTTATGTGGAAAAAGAATATTTTCCGCTATCTAATGTGAATTTCTATTGGTGCACATTGTGCCTGTTTCTTCTTGTCCTTGTGTACTGCTAATTATCTCCTCGATTAGCTCTGGATGAAGGAAAATTTGCTTTTTCCCTACAGGCTATGCTTCAATCACACCATCACAGACTCTGCCACTGCTGCCATTGCTGGTCTCAGTCATTTGTCCAGTGTTGATACTGGTCTGTGGGGCTGTTCTGTGCCTGAAGAGGAGGCAAATGCGAAATAGGACTTCTAGTCCCTCTCCAGGTGAGCTCAGTTGTGGATGAAGAGGGAAATGAAGTTTCCAGAAGGGTATGGTTGGAAGTAGGATTGCTAAAATGTTGATGTCAGCATACTTTGGGCAGATTTCTTTCCTGTGGCTCATATTGAAAGGGACTTCCTATTCTACTTTGAGTCCTTTGGTTCCATTCTCTTTTCTCTTTCTATCCACTGTACCTCTTTCACATTAACATCTTATTTCCAGCTGGGTGGAAATATGATGCTCTTGGTGGTGGGATGGTCCTTCAAGTGGGAATACCTCCTTGAATGCTCCTCTTTGTTGCCTGCTCCACTTGTTCATTAAGCGGGAGCTCTGAGCTTTGCTCTGTTCCCAGCTCCCCCTTGGGAAGGATATCGGGGATATTTCATCTTTATCCAACAGCTGAGAAAGGATCAGGAACTGTGTCTGTGCCTGAGTTTTTAAGGATGTGGTGGAGACTCTTGGAAACCAGGGTTGAGTGGCTGGAGACACCTTTGTTGAACATCTGCATGTTGTCTTTTTGGGAATGAGGGATGGGGTTGGGTATGATGCTGCCAGTTTTACCAGCGTTGTTCTCAAGCTTTTTCACCTCAGGAAAAGGACAGGGCAGTGGGAAGGCACCAAGACTGAGCAGATCCAAAGGGCTGGGTTGTCCAGAGATGTTCCTATGAGTGGTGTGTTGGAGTCCAAAAGAACATGCCCATCTATCTCACTCATGGCAAGGTCACTCCTAGGCCCATGTGTGACCCAACCAAGGAGATATCTTTTCACAGAATCACAGAATCACAGAATTTCTAGGTTGGAAGAGACCTCAAGATCATCGAGTCCAACCTCTAACCTAACACTAACAGTCCCCACTAAACCATATCCCTAAGCTCTACATCTAAACGTCTTTTAAAGACTTCAAGGGATGGTGACTCCACCACTTCCCTGGGCAGCCCATTCCAATGTCTAACAACCCTCTCAGTAAAGAAGTTCTTCCTAACATCTAACCTAAAACTCCCCTGGCGCAACTTTAGCCCATTCCCCCTCGTCCTGTCACCAGGCAGGTGGGAGAACAGACCAACCCCCACCTCACTACAGCCTCCTTTAAGGTATCTGTAAAGAGCAATAAGGTCGCCCCTGAGCCTCCTCTTCTCCAGGCTGAACAAGCCCAGCTCCCTCAGCCGCCCCTCGTAGGACTTGTTCTCCAGGCCCCTCACCAGCTTCGTCGCCCTTCTCTGGACCCACTCAAGCACCTCGATGTCCTTCTTGTAGCGAGGGGCCCAAAACTGAACACAGTGCTCGAGGTGCGGCCTCACCAGAGCCGAGTCCAGGGGGACGATCACCTCCCTAGCCCTGCTGGTCACACTGTTTCTGATACAAGCCAGGATGCCGTTGGCCTTCTTGGCCACCTGAGCACACTGCTGCCTCATATTCAGCTGACTGTCCACCATCACTCCCAGGTCCTTCTCTGCCTGGCAGCTCTCCAACCACTCATCTCCCAGCCTGTAGCTCTGCTTGGGTTATTGCGCCCCAGGTTCAGGACCCGGCACTTGGCCTTGTTGAACTTCATGCAGTTGACCTCAGCCCATCGGTGCAGCCTATCCAGATCCTCCTGCAGAGCTTTCCTACCCTCGAGCAGATCGACACACGCACCTAGCTTGGTGTCATCTGCAAACTTACTGAGGGTGCACTCAATGCCCTTGTCCAGATCATTGATGAAGATATTAAAGAGGACCGGCCCCAGCACCGAGCCATGGGGGACGCCACTAGTGACCGGCCTCCAACTGGACTTGACTCCATTTACCACGACTCTTTGGGCCCAGCTATCCAACCAGTTTCTAACCCAACGAAGCGGGCGCCAGTCCAAGTCCAGAGCAGCCAGTTTCTTGAGGAGAATGCTGTGGGAGATGGTGTCAAAAGCCTTGCTGAAGTCAAGGTAGACCACATCCACAGCCTTTCCCTCGTCCACCCAGCACGTCACTTTGTCATAGAAGGAGATCAGGTTCGTCAAGCAGGATCTGCCTTCCATAAACCCATGCTGACTGGGCCTGATCGCCTGCTTGCCCTGCAAGTGCTGCGTGATGACTCTCAAGAGGATCTGCTCCATGAGCTTCCCTGGTACTGAGGTCAAACTGACAGGCCTATAGTTTCCTGGGTCTGCCCTCCGGCCCTTCTTGTAGATGGGCGTCACGTTTGCTAGCTGCCAGTCAACTGGGACCTCCCCCGATAGCCAGGACTTCTGATAAATGATGGATAGGGGCTTTTCCAGCTCCTCTGCCAGTTCTCTCAGTACCCTTGGGTGGATCCCATCCAGCCCCATCGACTTGTGCACATCCAAGTGCCATAGCAGGTCACCAACCAGTTCTTCGTGGATAGTGAGGGTCACATCCTGCTCCCCATCCCCTTCCACCAGCTCAGGGTACTGGGTATCCAGATGACAACCGGTATTGCCGCTAAAGACTGAGGCGAAGAAGGCATTAAGCACCTCCGCCTTTTCCTCATCTCTTGTAACTAAGTTTCCCCCCGCATCCAGTAAAGGATGGAGATTCTCCTTAGTCCTCCTTTTTGTGTTGATGTATTTATAAAAACGTTTTTTGTTATCTTTAATGGCAGTAGCCAGATTGCATCCTGTTTCTTTGCCAAGTGCTGAACCTTTGTTTTGAAAGGAATGCCATCTGTAGGCTCTTTGCATGTAGGAGGAAGCTTGGGTGGGTGGATCAGCATGTAGTTTTGATGGTGGGAAAAATCTTTGGGATGAAGGGTGCTGCGTGTGGACCAAACGTTTGATCAAGGGTGGTTTCTGCAAAGGAGACTTCATGTCTGAGTACTGGCAGTCAACAGTGTATACCCTGTGCTGCTGGTATTAGTCAAGTCAACTTGATTTGTGCTGTCTCCAAAGCAGTGAGCATCCTCAATGGTGTTGTAAAAGAGGAGGAAAACTCAGGCAGCACTGCCTGGGATGCCTAGATCGACCCACTGTCTGAATCCTTGTGGTCTGCAGGCTTTGTACACATGGACGAGCTGGCTGACATGTCCACCTAGATGCCTGGAGCAGAGCAAGTGGAGGCAAAGGAGTCTCACGCTGATGATGCCAGCAACAAGTGAGCTCAGTTCCTGTGACCATCCCAGATACAAGACTCCAGCTGATGCAGCTCCATCCCAGTGCACAGCCCTGTCACCATGAAGGGCCCTGGACGATCCCTTCTCTACAGAGTGAAATCACCAGAGATTGACCCGTTGTCAGCTCCATGCCCACATCAGCCAGCCACCCGAAGTGATACAGGGCATGAAGCACCAGCTGGCAGAAATGGTCTGTGTGCACAAGAGAAGTGATGCATAGAAATATTTCAGGTTCCTGTTTTCATTTTTTTTTCTTGGTGCATTTGTGAAAATAAAAAAATAATAATTCTGTAACACATAAGCAATGTTTTACTATTTTTTTTTTCTTTCTTTCTTTTCTTCTTCTCCTCTTTTATTTTTTTATTTTTATTTTTTTTTTAGTCAATGGAGGCTGCAAAGCTTTTCCCTACATATATGCAATGGCTTGTTTCTGTTCACCTGTGAAGCTGAGTAGCTTTACTAACTCCACCAACTGAAAGCTCAGGTGAGGCCTCACATAGACATTTAGAGCCACCTTAGATGTCCTAGGTCTCAGACGCTGGCATGGGACTGTCAAATAGGACAAAGGACCTACAGGTAACTAGATGTGTCTCTGTGTGGGCAGCTAGACCATGCTGAGCTCTTCCTTCTGCTGCATGCCCAAATGTTTCTGCATGTTGTCCTTGGAGAGTAGTCTTCTGGGGCACCTGAGACAACAGTGCTCTGACAAAAGAAGAGCTTGGAAGGCACAGAGATGCGAGCTGGATATGCAGAGGGATGCTGGCTGGGGTTTTAAGCAGCACTGGTCATAAAAAGATGTGCTGGGTTCTCCAGTGGCTAGTGATACAGCCCATCTCACACAACCCAAAACAGCTGCTTGGAAGCATCAGAGAAAGCCTCAGCATGGGGACTCAGGCTGTGACGGCTATGATAGCTGTGATGAGTTAAAAGCATGAACACCTGGAAGGCCGGGGAGGAGGGGAGGTGAGCAGGAAACAGGATGCCTGTTGAGTCATAGGGACTTAGAAGATGAAGGCTTGGAATGCCCAGGGATGATTTAATCTAGAAAACAGAAGATGACTTTTGTTACAGGTAGGAATGCACCTTATTGCAGGCACTTTGAGATGATGCTGTCCTGGTTTCAGTTAGCACAGAATTAATTTTCTTCCTAGTAGCTGGTGGAATGCTGTGTTTTGGCTTAGGATGAGAAGAGTGCTGATAACACCCCGATGCTTTAATTGTTGCAGAGCAGTGCTTATACTAAGCCAAGGACATCTCAGCCTTTTGCTCTGTCCTGCCAACGGACAGGCTGGGGGTGCAGTAAGAGCTGGGAGGGGACAGACCCAGGACAGGTGATCCAAACTAGCCAAAGGGGTATTCCATACCATCTGACGTCATGCTAAACAATATATAGGGGTGGCTAGCCGGGGGAAGGGGGCCGGACTGCTCGGGGTTAGGCTGGGCATCAGTCAGCGAGTGGTGAGCAATTGCATTGTGCATCACTTGTTTGTACATATTATTATTATTTCCCTATTATCACCATATTATTATTATTGTTATTATTGTTATTATTATTTTGTTATTATTATTTTCCTGTCTTATTAAACTGTCTTTATCTCAACTCACGGGCTTCACTTTCCATTTCTCTCCCCCGTCCCAGAGAGGGAGGGGGGAGGGTGAGCGAACGGCTGCGTGGTGTTTAGCTGCCGGCTGGGTTAAACCACGACAGATGCATACATTGGTCCTGCTGTCTGCTAATGAGCAGGATAATGGTTGTTACCCTTGTGACCTAGTGACCCTAAAGAGGTCAGGGTAATGGAGAGGTCTTTCTCCAGAATGCAGGCAGTGCTTGCAGAATTAGCTTTTCTTTGTTCTCGTTCCTGAAGCTGCAGTTCTCACCCACTTTGACACGAGGTTATCTTCTTCCTAGGAAGCACAGTTCCCTTTTCAGCATTTTCTTGGCATGGTTTAGAAGAGTTCAGCTGCAGGATCCCCACCCATGGCTGGCTAGTGACCTTGTGCTGCTGCAGAGCTTCCAGTCCTTCATCTGCTCAACAAAAGAACGATTCTGGAAACTTCCCTGGATTGCTCCAGTTTGATGTGAGCTGGATACGTGATCAGGGAGGTTCATCTGGCTCTTTGCAGGGGTTTGGGAAGTAGAGGCATTTGAGATAGGGGAGCCCACCAGTGTGGTGGGACTAGTAGTCCATCCACCACCCAGCAGCTCCTCAGGTTTTATGAATCTACAATCAGCCCATCATACAATTTATGTACTTTTGTTTAAAGGGTGGCAAGTGAGAGTTAAAAGTGGAATAATGCTCTCTTAATGGTAGAAATGGGATCTAGGGACCTTAGTCTATGAGTCTAGAAACACTGAGGCAAGTAAGGGTACCTTGCAAAAAGAAATTCACATGTGTGTAGGTCCCCAAAATGTCTGAGCTTGGAGTGTGCAATTTACACACATGCACTTTATAGCCTGTCCCTGAAGTCTCTTTTCAGTGTCATCTGCAAATGGGCCATGGGGTAACCCCAGAACATGCCCTGCTGTCCCAGGATGCTGTTACTTCTCCAACACATTGCCTTCTCTGTGGGGTGGTAAATGAGGGTCCTTGCTAACAGACAGGCATCTCTGTGGGAGTTTCATTTTTATGTTTCTTGAGTATCACTGCAGCGAGGATCCCATGGGAGGCAGCTTCTTCAGGAGGCCCTCTGGGGAGGTTCAGTATGGGGGACACCAAAGGATGAGCAGATGAAGGGGAGTTAGAGTCTGGGCAGGCTCAGAATGGGAAGAGTTCTTCATGACCTGCTCCCACATTCCCTGTCCTCTCTCACTTAACCATTTCTGAAGCCATGCAATTGCCAGTACTGGGGCATCTGAACTTAAAAAATTAAAGCTGTGAGCTTCCTCTGTCCTTGTTATGGCTGATGGACTTACTCTGGCTCAAACCATTCCCTGAGACCTCTTCTTTACCTGTATTATTTATACCAGTTTTCAATAGATTAGTTCATTGTTGAAGGGGAGAATGAGAGAATTTGTCTGCTGCAGGTTAGCAAAAGACACTGAAATGCAAAAGCTGGGAGGGACAAGATGAGTCTGTGTTAAAAGCCTTGCAGCAGCTGGGGAGAGCTAACTCTGGAGATGCTGGCACAGGCAGAGCTCAACCATATGGAAAGGCTCCATGGGCTCAAGTGCAGATGTCTGTGCTGGACTGCTGCTAGAGTCACTGGGAGTGTCAGCAGAGAAAAATGAACCACATGAGAAGTCCCTGATGGTTTCCCTCATCTTGTATTCCAGCCTCTCAGAAAACCATACACAGAGCAGTCCCGGGGTAATGCTTCTGAGAGTGCTTGCTCTTGAATAATGAAGTGATTTCCTGCCATCTAGCTATACATCAATGAAATGCAACAAAAAGGAATTGATAGTACAACACGTCTGGCTTTGAATGTTTCATTTTTCTGGTACACAACTGCTAGCATGTTGCCTGAAATCATTGCCTCTGTATGTCGTAACAGCTAAGGAATTAAGGAATCCAAAGAAATATTTTATACTTTAAGAAAGGTGTCAAGATGAAGACAAGGGGTTTAATTTTGCCATGATATACAACTCTGGATTTTCCACGTCTTCTGTTCTGCGAGTAGTTCTGGTTGCCACATCCCAGGAAGGATGTACTGGAACTAGAGCAGGTCCAGAGACTGCACAGAGGTCTGGGACCTTCTGCAAGGTAGCGGAGTTGGGGTTGTTCTCTTCTCCCAAGCAACAAGCAATAGGACAAGAAGTAATGGCCTCAAGTTGCACCAGGAAAGGTATGGATTGGATATTAGGAGAAATTTCTTTACTGAAAGGGTTGCGAGGCATTGTAATAGGCTGCCCAGGGAAGTGGTTGAGTCACCATCCCTGGAGATATTCAAGAAACGTGCAGATTTAGAACATAGTAGACTTAGAACATGGTTTAGTGGTGGACTTTAGGACTAGGTTAAAGGTTGAACTAGATGATCTTACAGGTATTTTCCAACCTAAATGGTTCTACGATTCCATGGAATTCATACATGGACACCCTGTCCTTCTGCAGCTTCCCCAGCTTTACTGCAGGCCCACTTTAGGTACTGGAAGGCTGTTCTAAGGTCTCCCCAGAGCCTTCTCTTCTCCAGGCTGAACAACCCCAACTCCCTCAGCCTGTTTTCACAGGAGAGGTGCTCCAGCCCCTCGATCACCTCTGTGCCCTCCTCTGGACTCGTTCTAATAGGTCCATGTCCTTCTGATTCTGGGGGCCCCAGAACTGAGCACATTACTCCAGGCAGGGTCTCACAAGAGCTGAGTAGAGGAGGAGAATACCCTCCCTTGCCCTGCTGGCCGTGCTTCTTTCAATGCATCCCAGGATGCGGTTGGTTTCTGGGCTACAAGCTCACATTCCCAGCTCATGTTGAGCTTCTCGTCAACCAAAACCCCCAGGCTGTTCTCCTTAGGACTGCTTTCAATCCATCCTCTGCCTGTAGTTGTGCTTTGGATTGCCCCAGACCAGATGCAGAACCTTGCCCTTGGCCTTGTTGAACTTCATGAGGTTTGCACAAGGCCACCTCTCAAGCCTGTCCAGGACCCTGTGGATGGCATCCCTTCCCTCCAGCATGTTGACTGAACACCCAGATGGTGTCACTAGCTAACTTGCTCAATCCCACTGTCCGTGCCATGGCCAAAGATGTTAAAAATCCCAGATGTTTTTAGCATTTGGTATATTTGTAGAAACAAACAAACAAACAAAACACAAAAACAAAACAAACAACAACAACAAAACACCCTAGCTCTCTGTGACATACTTAGAATTCATGTGTGTCTCCCTGAGAGGGGCTGAAGGCTCTCAGAGAGCAGGAGCTGAATGGATGCAGTCCTTGGGGCACTAAGAGGAGGAAGGGCTCTGGTGGGTGCATATGAAGGCATCTGGATGCAGAAAAAGGTTGCAGAGCATCCCAGCAAAGAGCACAAGATGCCAGCATTTAGTCAGTTAGTATTCAGCAACGAACATCTCCGCTCACAAGAGGCTGCCTGCTTCTAGGAACCACTTTTTCGCAAGCAGAATAATATAAGAAATAAAAAAAAGGTTCACAGGAGATTTCTCTTCTGTGACAGTTTCAGCTATGTCTTGGGTCTTGGCAGAACACAGGGACTGCAGAAGGAGCTGGTGTGGGTGCTGCAACAAGGAAGCTTTTTCTTGGCTGGAAAGTGGGACATATGTGCGCAATGAGTCTTGCATGTGTGCAAGATTGCATGAGATCTTGGAAACCCTGGTGCAAAGGGTTAATTATGGACAGACTTGCTGATTGGGTTTCTGTTAGGATGTGAAATTTATGGGCTGCAATATTCACGGGCTGTGATGCAGCAATAGGAAGTGTGGGAAATGGGTGGCTGTGTCATGAAAGAAAAACGTCTTGGCACGGACAGCTCCGTTCACTTGCCAGAGAGGAGCTTTTCCAAAAGACATGATGGATAAATGGGGCAAGAGACATCCTTTCATTTCCTTTCAGACAAGCTGCTGCACCTTATATGTTTTTAGTCAGGCTAAATTGAGGAGGAAGGCCGAGGTGGCTCATTATACTATTTGCTGAAAGCCTGAAGTGTAAGCACAGGGAAAGGCTCAGGGTGTTGTGCCAAAGCATCCCATGGTTCAGAGATCAGCCAGGAAAATCTCTGAATTCACTTATACTGGGGGTCAGAATCAATGCAATGGGGCACCCATAACCTGGACATGCTTATAACTAAACCTCAGCAGTTCATTCATGATTTCTGGAACCCCCTCATTCTTTACATGATACTCCCAGAATACAGACTGTGTATTTTATGTGTCTTTTAGTGTGAGGGGTCAGGTCTTATCAACACAATTTCTGATAGTGGCCTTGGGGACAGACAGACTTCAGCTGGAGCAAGCTCTTCCATGTATGTAAAGGACCTGCTCCTTAGAATTCCTTATTTTGGCAGGGGAAAGGAGACTTTCCTTTCCTCACCTATATGGTGAGGCAGATCTTACCTTCAGCCCTGAAGAAAGAGATCTGGGGGTGCTGGTCAACAGCAAGTTGAGTGTGAGCCAGCAGGGTGCCTGGCACCTGAGAGGGCAAACATCATTTTGGGATGCTTTTAATACAGCATAGACAGCTGGTAAAAAAAATAAAAAATAAAATAAAAAAAAATAAAATAAAAAAGAGGTGATTCTCCTGCTATATATTACTGAAGCCTCACTTTGAATATTGTGTGCAGTTTTGGTCTCCACATCAAAAGGATGTGAAGATTGTGTCCGGAGGAGGGCAACAAAGCTGGTAAAAGAGCTGGATGGCATGTTCTGTGAGGAGAGGCTGAGGACACGTTTTTTTTGAGAAAACACTACTCTACTCTACTATACTCTACGCTACCCTACCCCATCCCATCCCATCCTCTGATTTTATGAGGGTCTCAGTGAGAACTGAACTCTCCTAGGACATACTTCTCCCCACCTTAGCATCAAGGACTCTAGGTGAAGTACCCACTTTTCCCCCAGCTAGCTTTAATTGGGACCTCAGGGTATGAGCCTAAATGAAGCTCCAGCTCCAAACATTTTTGCTAGAATAAATAAATGTAATTAAAAAAAAATATTTCCTCACTGCATGTGTCCTCTGAGGGAGATGCAGTCACCCGAGCAGAACTTTGAAGCTCATTCTTATGTTTATGGTTTGAATATGGATATCCTGGCATTACCCACAGGAAACACTTTCTGGGATGAATCCTGTTTTTACCTTCTTCTGAATATGTCCAGGTCTTTCTCTTACTCAAATGCTTCCATTGAAGATGCTGATGCAGATGGGGGAAGCACAGTTACAGGCTTCTACGTGGCATGGTTACATGGCTGCTTAGACACGGACGTGTCTTCTTTAGAAGGCAAGGGGATGATAATAAGGTTCCTGCTGCCAAGAAGTGTTGCGAGGAGGATCCCATCACTGCTGCTTCTCCCATTATTCCTGGCTCATTTTCAGCTTGAGTGAATAGTCATTGAGCTTCTTGCGGAGCTCCCATAGTGCAAAAAACTGTGCTGAGTCTCATGGGAATCCCCGTCTAGTAAAGGCATGATATCAGGGAGCTCAGAGTACAGAGTCACCATCTCTTGCAAGATCCCATGCCCAAGCTTGTCTCCACCCACTCTTCCTGAAGGTCTTTTTTTTTTTTTTTTTTGTGTGTGTGTGTATTCCTTTGTTTCAGAACCAGAGGTGGTTCGGTTGGTGAACGGCCCAAGCCGCTGTGCTGGGAGAGTTGAAGTCCTTGAGCAGCGCCAATGGGGGACGGTGTGTGAGGATGCCTGGGACCTACGTGACGCAGAAGTGGTGTGCTGGCAGCTGGGCTGTGGGACAGCAACTGCAGCTCCGGGCTTGGCTTACTTTGGCCAGGGAAATGGTCCCATCTGGCTGTCCAAGGTCAACTGCACGGGGACAGAAGCTGCCCTCTCCAAGTGCAGGGCCAGGCCCGAAGGAGTCCACCTCTGCCACCATGGAGAAGATGCTGGTGTGGTGTGCTCAGGTAGCTGTTGGTCATCTGCCCATGAGCTTGTGGGTTCCAACACTGCAGGAGCTCAGTGGATTGCTTTTCCTTTCTTCTCTATGTCACTGCTCTTCCCACAGGTGAATCTTGAACTCCAAGGCTAGACCGATGCTGAACAAGTGGGGATTCCCCCTCGCCGTCATATCAGGCACTTGGTCTCTCCTTTACCAGGTCCGGCACCAAGAGATGACGTGCTCTGCCTCTTTCCATTTCAGAGCCTCCTGAGGTCCGGCTGGTGAACGGCTCCAACCGCTGCTCTGGGAGAGTCGAGGTGCTGCATAACCAGCAATGGGGAAGTGTGTGTGATGATGACTGGGACCTGGATGATGCACAAGTGGTGTGCCAGCAACTGAGCTGTGGTACAGCTATCTGGGCTCCACGTGCGGCTCGGTTTGGGCTGGGGAACGACCCCATCTGGCTTGATGATGTGAACTGCGCAGGCTCAGAGGCTGCCCTCTCTGAGTGCAGGGCCAGGCCATGGGGCGAAAACAACTGTAATCACCGAGAAGCTGCCAGTGTGGTGTGTGCAGGTAAGCCACCTTCATTCCTTCATCACAGAATCACAGAATTTCTCGGTTGCAAGAGACCTCAAGATCATCGAGTCCAACCTCTGAGCTAACACTAGGAAGTCCTCCACTAAACCATATCACTAAGGTCTACAGCTAAACGTCTTTTACAGACCTCCAGGGATGGTGACTCCACCACTTCCCTGGGCAGCCCGTTCCAATGCCTAACAACCCTTTCTGTAACGAAGTTCTTCCTAAGATCCAATCTAAAACTCCCCTGGCGCAACTTAAGCCCATTCCCCCGCGTCCTGTCACCAGGCAGGTGGGAGAACAGACCAACCCCCACCTTGCTTCATGGTGCAGCTCTGGAAGGAGCAATGTGCAGCCCTGCTGGACACAGTATGTTGCTGTGTCTCTTAAGGGAAGCATATGGATAGCTCTATTTTGCTCGTGTCTCTTGCCTCTGTATTGAGATCTATTTTCAGGTCCCTTTACACATTGACCCTTCTCACTACCTTTGGTCCATGTAGTCTTGATGGACTGCCAGGCTCCCGCTCTATGTTGCCATAGCACTTTAGGTCGATGTTCAGGTTTCTCCACGTGAACTACGTGGCTGAGCCACCCCCTCCTGTTAAAATCCAGGGTGGCCTTGTTGATACAGCTAATGTATGTTGAATGAACTCCAGACTGGTGTAGGTCTTCCATTTGTCCCTGTATCCTGCCTGTTCCCTCCTCATGGTTTCTTTGGATGCCTGAGAACACATCAAATGGGATTAGATACCTGTGTTTATGCCAACGGGAGCCTTCACATCACATTGTTCCTGGCTACCACTCGAGGTTTTGTCTTCCACTTTTCCGTGTCTGCCCTGCAAGTGTCCCTGAACCAGCCCAGCTCCGGCTGGTGAATGGCTCTAGCCGCTGCTCTGGGAGGGTCGAGGTCCTTCGTATCCTTGTCCTAGTAATGCTGACATGTGGAAGTGACTCCACAACCATAGGGTTGCAAAGTAGTTATACTTTACTGCAGTGCACCAGGCGCACTGGGAATAGCTTCCCTCAAAAAGTGTGCACCTGCCCAGCGTTCTCTCACAATTTTATACGTGAATACTGCTACATATTACAAGAGCTCTAATACTTATTCATTCTTTGCCCTGAGAAGGCGGACCTCTTCCTAGTAGTGCTCATTTCCAAACTCCCCGCCCTTAGCTCCTCCCAGTTGTGCTTGCGCAATGTAGCCTGATGTTCGAGGGCAGGGGTATTTCAGGATGAAGGCAACGAGGAAGAGAAGGTTAAACTTTGTACCTTCCTGGACTTTGACCTTATCTTGGACTGTATTTAGGAGTTTTTTGCTTATCTTTGCCTTATTTTCTGCCAGTGAGTTGTTCATCCTTCCCTTATGCGTTGGCCTTGAGCGATATCTTCACTTTTACATCTGCTTATGTGGTGTAAATGCCTGAAGTAACTAGGAAAATAAAAGTAGCATTCACATTTTTAAGGAAAAGGTACAGCATTGGAGAGGCTTTCAGGGTAGGGCATAACTGCATTACCTGAGCATTCCCTAGGCTCCCAACCTTAGATGCTATCACGCTGGGGAAACTTGGTGTGCTAGCCCTAAGGAACACCACGGAGCGTAGAGTGGGGTGGAGACACCGCGGCTAGGCTCTGTGACCAGGTGGAGCCTCGATTGTTCTTGTGCACAAAGCTGCACTTCTTGCCACCCTAAGACAAAGACCTGTCATGTTTTGACAAATGCTGTACCCTAGTGTACTTTTTGCTCATTAAAATATCATTATAATACCAAAACACACCTCCATCCCAAAAGCTACCCGCCTCCAAGGTGCGACCACCCCTCACCGAGCATGCGCTCTGAATTTCTCGGAGCCTATTACTTTAAACAGAGACGGGAAAACTTTACACCAATCATAACTAAGATATGCTTGACTAGAGCCACTCAAGCTCCACCTAAAAGATAGAAAATAATATAAATTGGCCCAAGAGAGAGGGGATGTTAGGGAAGATACCATCGTCAGGGGAGATACCATCCCGAGGACATACAACATCCTTAGGACCTCCTGACTCCTGGGATCAGTCGACGGGCTGAGCCTCTCTTCCCCCCCCATTGGGACGCCTTTGGGTGAGATCTGAATATTTGCTTATAAATCTCTATAGAGTCTTTGATCCTTTTAACGCGTTTATTTCTAGGCTGCGCACCTGTAACACCTGTAACACCTCTGACACCTGTAAACACCTGTAACACCTGTAACATCTATAACATCTATAACACCTGTGTATTTCATGCATACTAGCTTGCTTTTGCAGATAGTCACTATCACCGGCAATCCAAAAGAACCTGATTATCTGTTGCTGTAATAAACCATACTTGATTGCATTGTGATAGCTCTCATTAATGCGACTAGGGTGAGGGTGGTTATCCGTGATAGTTCAGTGTTCTGAATCTAACCAGACCCCCAGACGGTTAATGCATTGTTGGTGAATGTCTGAATGGACCCCCAGGCGGTTATTACGTTTTTGGTGAATGTCCGAACGGACCCCCAGACAGTTAATGTGTTTTTGGTGAATGTCCGACTGGTTCAGTACTCTGAATCCAACCGGGCCCGTAACGGCTAATCAGCTACACCCCTTTAACGCGACAGCTTCTCATAAGTTTCTCATCTACATTCCCCAATAATCAGGATATTTTACCATATATGTAGCTAAATATTAATTCAGATGAGTTTTAGCATCTTCCTCATCTCAGTGTACATTTCCTCAGGCATGGCCATTAAGTTGCAGGGTTTATTCCCAGCAGCTGCTGGAGTTACTGCATCGGCTGCCAGAGGTCTCAACCGAGACAACTGAGGAAGAGCTGGGCAAGACTTCAAGTGAGGCAGCCGGGCCGACAGGCCCTGCACCTTGTGGGAATGCCCGGAAGAAGCGGTGGGTGATTTCTGTGGGGGACTCCATGCTTCAGGCTGTGGATATGAAGATATATATGGATATATGGATATATCATATATGGATATACGATATATCCATGCTTGGATACAAGGTGGTTTGGAAAGACTGACAAAGGTCTGACAAAGGTCTGACAAAGGGGGAATTGGAAATGCCAGCCCTCTGAGGGGTAGTAAATGCTGTGGGGTTGATCTGCTTGGGCAGACTGATCTGAGGAAGCAGGATAGAGGTTTGCAGAAATAAAGGAAAATAAAGGACCTCTTCTGTTCCTTATGCTGTGGTAAGGCTGTTCATTCAGTAAAGCCAACCGAGATTTGTGAATGCAACATTTCTGGCACATGGTGCTCTGAATGCACAGCCTTACTCAAAATTGCTCCAACAAAGAGCCTGCAATTCAACTATTCGCTATTTTTTTAAAAAAAAAAATTATTTATTTATTTATTTATTTACTTATTTATTTTTAGTAATGTAAATTCATCCTGAAGCCTGTTCACTTGAAAAAATTGGTCTTAATGTATTTTGGTTTTCCTTGTTTTGAGGGACTGTCGTGGTTTAGCCCGGCCGGCAGCCAAACACCACGCAGCCATTCGCTCACCCTCCCCCCTCCCTCTCTGGGACGGGGGAGAGAAATGGAAAGTGAAGCCCGTGAGTTGAGATGAAGACAGTTTAATAAGACAGGAAAATAATAATAACAAAAATAATAATAACAATAATAACAATAACAATAATAATAATAATAATAATAATAATAATAATAATACAATGGTGATAATAGGTAAGTAATAATAGTATGTACAAACAAGTGATGCACAATGCAATTGCTCACCACCCGCTGACCGGTGCTCAGCCTCACCCCGAGCAGTCCGGCCCCCCTCCCCCCGGCTAGCCACCCCTATATATTGTTTAGCATGACGTCAGATGGTATGGAATACCCCTTTGGCTTGTTTGGGTCACCTGTCCTGGGTCTGTCCCCTCCCAGCTCTTACTGCACCCCCAGCCTGCCTGTTGGCAGGACAAAGCAAAAGGGTGAGATGTCCTTGGCTTGGTATAAACACTGCTCTGCAACAATTAAAACATCGGGTTGTTATCAGCACTCTTCTCATCCTAAGCCAAAACACAGCATTCCACCAGCTACTAGGAAGAAAATTAATTCCATTCTAACTGAAACCAAGACACACCGTGTGCAGGCTCTGTGCTATCACTGCAGTGATGGGAAACCTGGTGATACCATGGAATTGGTGGGCTGATAACCAAATCGTGTCCTCTGGGTGAGCTTTGCTCATTATACTCTTGTTATAATGTCAAAACACACCTCCACTCCAAAGGCTACCCACCTCCAGAGTGCGACCACTGAGCGTGCGCTCTGGATTTCTCTAAGCCTAGGCCTTTAAACATGAAAAAAGATTAATACCAATTTATAAATTTATGCCAATTTCTAAGTTTATACAGATTTATACAAGGGTACATTTGACCAGTGTCACTCATGCTCCACCTAAAGGTAGGAAAATAGTATAGAAATGGCTCGAGAGAAAAAAATGTTAGGGAAAATACCATCAAGTTGGAAGGACATCACTGGCTTCTGGCATCAGTCACCAGGTTCAAGCTCTCTTCCCCCCCAGCAGGGATGCCTACTGAGTGAGATTCAAACCCTTGGGTATAATGAGTGCTTCCCCAGGAAACCTAATATTGTCTATAGAGTTGTTTCATAAGTTAACTTGTATGTAGTAGGTTGCATTGGTCATATTCTTGGTATCTGCATGTGCTTGGCATACAGCCTTCTTATCACCAGGAATCCAAAAGAATCTGTACTCTTGTTGCTTCAGTAAACTATGGCAGTCATTAATCTACTAGCCTGAAGGTGTGCCATGCTATCTGTGCTCATGATAATTCAATATATTGAATGTGACTGGACTCAGTGCTGAACTGGGTCCAGCCCAGCCGGCCGCCCCCAGCCCCTGTGATACCTGAGGACAAGATGTAACACAAGGGGGTTTAGGGCCTACCAAACTTCTTTACCATTGAACATAACAAGTTACTACAGAAACCAACCAGAGAAGTGTTACTGGACCTGGTGCTCACCAATGAAAAACTCATTAAAGAGGTTAAGACTGGAGGCAGTCTGGGCTGCAATGACCATGCCCTGGTTGAATTTCTGATCTTGGGCCTGGCAAAGAGCAAAGCCAGGACCCTCAACTTTAGAAGAGAGAAGTTCCGTCTGTTAAAGAACCAGTGGATGAGATCCCCTGGGATGGAGGAAATGATCAGAGCTTGCAAATTTTTAAGGACGCTTGTCTTAAAGCAAAAGAACTCCCCATCTGGAAGAAATCAAGCAGGGAAGGCAGGAAACAGGCATGGCTGAGCAAGGACCTGCTGGTCAAAGTGAGGTGCAAGAAGGAGATGCAAAGGCAGTGGAAGCAGGGACACATGGCCTGGGAAGAGTCCAGGAATGCTGTCTGGATGTACAGGGATGGGATCAGGAAAGGTACAGATAGAACTGAGCTCGGCAAGGGGTGCAAAAAATAACAAGAAGGGTTTCTATAGGTACCATGCTCAGAAAAAAAAGAAAAAAAAAGTGTGCCCCCTCTGATAAATGTGAAGGGTGAACTGGTGGTGTGGTTTAAACCGGCCAGCAGCTAAGCACCACACAGCCTTTCACTCACCCTCCGTCTCCGGAATGGGGGAGAGAAATGAGACAATGAAGCCTGTGGGTTGAGATAAAGACACTTTATTATGACAGGAAAATAATGATAATGATAATAATAACAATAATAGTACTACTACTAATAATGTGTACAAAACAAGCAATGCCCAATGCAATTGCTCACCACCCGCTGACCGATGCCCAGCCTATCCCTGAGCACCCGCACCCCCCACCCCAGCCAGACCCCCATATTAATTGTTTAGCATGACTTTGGTATGGAATACCCCTTTGGCCACTTTGGGTCAGCTGTCCTGGGTCTGCTAGGGTCTCCAGCAGTGACTTATCAAGGGTGAAGCATTCTGGCCCATCACCATGGTCGGCAGTGATAAGGCTTCATTCATAGAATCATAGAATCATAGAATCATAGAATATCCTGAGTTGGAAGGGACCCTTAAGGATCATCAAGTCCAACTCTTGACACCGCACAGGTCTACCCAAAAGTTCAGACCATGTGACTAAGTGCACAGTCCAATCTCTTCTGAAATTCAGACAGGCTCGGTGCAGTGACCACTTCCCTGGGGAGCCTGTTCCAGTGTGCAACCACCCTCTCTGTGAAGAACTTCCTCCTGATGTCAAGCCTAAATTTCCCCTGCCTCAGCTTAACCCCATTCCCGCGGGTCCTGTCACTGGTGTTAATGGAGAAAAGGTCTCCTGCCTCTCGACACCCCCTTACAAGGAAGTTGTAGACTGCGATGAGGTCTCCCCTCAGCCTCCTCTTCTCCAGGCTGAACAGGCCCAGTGCCCTCAGCCGTTCCTCGTACGTCTTCCCCTCCAGGCCTTTCACCATCTTCGTAGCCCTCCTCTGGACAATCTCCAACAGTTTCATGTCCTTTTTATACTGTGGTGCCCAGAACTGCACACAGTACTCGAGGTGAGGCCACACCAGCACAGAGTAGAGCGGGACAATCACCTCCCTCGACCTACTAGCGATGCCGTGCTTGATGCACCCCAGGACACGGTTGGCCCTCCTGGCTGCCAGGGCACACTGCCGGCTCATATTCAACTTGCTGTCTACCATGACCCCCAGATCCCTCTCTTCTAGGCTGCTCTCCAGCGTCTCATCGCCCAGTCTGTACGTGCAGCCAGGGTTTCCCCGTCCCAGGTGCAGGACCCGGCACTTGCTCTTATTGAACTTCATGCGGTTGGTGATCGCCCAGCTCTCCAACCTATCCAGATCCCTCTGCAAGGCCTTTCCACCCTCATTTGAGTCCACAACTCCTCCAAGTTTGGTGTCATTAGCAAACTTGCTCAAAATACCTTCTATTCCTACATCCAGATCGTTTATAAAAATATTGAAAAGTACCGGCCCTAAAATGGAGCCTTGAGGGACCCCACTGGTGACCGCCCGCCAGCCTGACGCAGCCCCATTTACCATAACCCTTTGGGCCCTGCCCATTAGCCAATTGCTCACCCATTGTATGATGTTTCAAGGCTGTGATGATTCAAGGCTTTGATGATTCAAGGCTGTGTGCTGTAGTGTTCTTTAAGGCAAGCTGTGGTTGTGTGGACAAAGGGAGAAGATAGTTTGGCAGGTGGGAAACTGGTTGATAAGGGAGTCAAAACCCAGATCAGGAGTCCCCCAGGGGACCAGTACTGGGACCATGATTGTTTGATGTCTGCTGATGGTCCCGGCTTCTCTCCTGGGCACCTGGGTGCGTATGACCTCAAAATATTTAAAACTGGTGAATTCCCCTCTCCAAAGACAAAAAGGGGCTCCACAGAGCCCCTGCTCCTGCACCCCAAGGTGTTTGGACACAGAAGGTCTCCACTTCTATGCCTGTGCTGGGAAGCAGTGTGGTGAGGAAGAGGAGGGGAGGTGGGGATGGGTTCCCTGCTGTAGGCGTTGTCTGCTCTGAATACCGATGGTCAAAGCTGGGGTGACCTGGGGGCACAGCTCGTGTGGGGAATAGAAATGTGGGGTAGCTGGGGCAGCCCCTCACCTGCACCCTCAGCACCCAGAAAACACCAGCAGACAGCCAGGGTCCTCACCAGCCTGGAGAAGAAGCCCCCAAACAGGACATGGGATGGGACCTGTCCCTTTCCTGGCTGTTGGAGATGGGACACTGTTCTTATCCTGCCTTTGTTTATGCCATTGGGGTTTGATGATGAAATGTGCTGGTGACATGAGGCACGGGGGCTCCACAGGCTTGGGAACTTGGGGAGTGGTGGACATGGGGGCTGCAGAGCAGGGATGATCACAGGCAACCGGTGGGAGGCAGAACAGGGATGGTACCACCAGCCCCACGCAGTGGGGATGGAGATACTCTACTGCAGCACCTCCTGCAGAGATGATGCTCTTCTGGAGAGCCCTGCCACACTTGCAGGCTTCACAGAGACGGAGCCACCGCAGATCCAGAGGCTGTGATGACCTGTAGGGCTGTGCTGCACATTGCAGGAAGCTCAGGCTGGGCTGGGGCTTTCTGTCCTGCCACCCTGGTGGCACTGGACATCATGTCAACAGGCTACCAGAAGCCACATGGTGGCTTTTCACTCTGCTCCTTGCAGGTGGGAACAGGCTTCACCTTGCCAAAGGGAAAAACCTCTCTGAAGCACTGAAAAACTCACGGGTTAAGCTAAGAATGGGGTGATCTCCCACCAGTTACTCGCATGGGCAAAACAGATGCAGCTTGGCTAAGATTGCTGTGATTTATTGCGAATGAATGACAGTGGAGAGCAGTGGGAACTAAAAGCAAACAACACCTTCCCCAGTCATCCATCTCATTCTGCCTCCTCCCCCCAAACAGTGCACAGGGATGGGGGAATGGGGGCTGCAGTCAGTCCCTAACGCTTCGTCTCCACCACTCCTCCACACTCACTCCCTGCCCCTGCCCCAACAGGGGGTCCCTCCTCTGGAATGCTGTCCTTCCAACCTGATCTTTAAGATCTGTTCTAACATGGGTCGCCCACAGGCAGCAGCACCCCCCAACACCCCTGCTCCTGCGTGGGCTTTTTTTTGCTTTTTTTTTTTTTGTTGTTGTTGTTTGTTTGCTTGCTTGCTTTTTCTGAGGAGGAATTCTTTTTTTTTTTTTTTTTTTTTCATTTTGTGTTTGTTTTCTGATGTCACAGCCAGTGACCACATGAGATTTCAAGAAGGGAGGGAAAGGGTGAGGGAAGGGAAGCCAAGCCGAAATCCCCTTTTTGTCCCAGTGGCTGCTGGCTTGGGGTGCTGGGTAAGCGGAGGGGAGGAGCTCGGCTGAAGCACAAAACCAAGGCCCCCTTCCAGGAAACCATGACGTGCTTTCTGTTAGCCTGAGCTCCACTGCAGCAGGCTCCACCTGACACTTCGTCCTCCAGTGTGTATTTATTTACACGTTGGCCTGGAAGCATCATTTTGCAAAAGCCAGCCCCTCTCGCCCTTGTGTTTCTCCTGTGGTGCCTGACTTCTGGGAAGGAAGCACTGGAGATCAGCGTGCGCCTCCACCCACGGGCAGAGTGGTGGGGAGTGGGAGGATGAGACATGCCAGAGGTGATTTTGTGCAGGCATTTCCCTACAGTGCAAGGGGCAAAGTTGAAATGGTGCCTAGGGGCTGCAGGGGTGGCACAAATAGATGTCCCCTGCTGACAAGGGTCACTCCTCCTGGCATGGGCTGAGCAACAGAACTGGAGCTGCTGTCCGTCAGCTTTTAGGCTGTCCCCAGACATCCCAAACAGAGCTGGGATGGCTGCCTGAGCTAGGAAAAAAGCACGGGGCAGAGCAGAGGGAGGGCATGGTGGCAGGGGGGCATCACTGCATCTTGCTGTGATGCTCTGTAGGCATCCTTATCTACACGCTAAGCATCTCTGCAAGGAGGACATATGCAGGGTACAAGGGTTGGAGCATTGTTTATTAGTTATCACCCATAAGCGTGAGATAGCACTCTACAAGCTGCTGTTAGCTTATTGGCAAAGTCATTGAAGCTGTAGGACAGTTAAGAGCAACCGGGCTGCTGGTGGTGCCATCTCCCACCAGTTTTATCATCAGTCACCACCTGTGATCACCAAAGAGGCAGCACAGTGAGATCTCTACCTTCATCCTTGATGAAAATCTCACGAGGGAAGCTTTTGACAGCAAAGGTGTCTTCACTCACATGTCTTAGGAATAGGGTGGGGGATCTATATCATCTACCTGGACTTTCAGGATCGCTTTTGAACTGTTGGACATCCTGGCTCTGACACGAATATTCCCGGAGGAGACCTCCAGGGTTTCATGGTTTGACGCTAGTGTAGCTCTCTGGAAGAGTGTGGAACTGTCGTAAGATTTTCTTTCCATCATACGGGAGAAGACTTCATGGAGTCTTACCATGTGGTTCTCTGTTTTGAAGAGCTCCAGAGCGAATTCGATGCTGTAAAGGACGTAGTCGAAGGGGTTGGAGAACATGATGGCCAGTGAGAAAGAGCTGGCCTTGCAGACCAGGACACCCACACTCCCACGCAGGCTGTATCGTGTCTTTGCAAAAATGCATACTCCTACGGACTGTGGGCCGATTTCAAAGGGGGGAAGGATCTGGATGTTGCCACTGAAGCAGTAACTCCTGCAGGAAGAGAATGACCAGAACAAAAGGAGATGTTGATGTGCTGGAGAGAGTCCCATGGAGGGCCACAAAACCAACAAGGGAGAGGCTGAGGGGGCTGGGACAATTTACCAAGGAGAAGACAAAAGGCTCAAGGGGATCTTGCCAATGTATGTAAATACCTGCAGGGAGCGTGCAATGAAGACAGAGCAGACTTTTTTCAGAGGTGCCCAGGGACAGAACAAGAGGCAATGGGCACAAAATAAAACACAGGAGGTTCCCTCTGAACATCAGGAAACGTCTTTACCATGAAGGTGACTGAGGACTCACACAGGCTGTCCAGAGATGTGGTGGAGATATCCACTTTTTTATATATTTTGTCTGTCTTTGGAGATACTCAAAATCCCTCTGGACATGGTCCTGGGTAAGTGACCAAAGGAATTCCAGAGGTCCCTGCCAACCTCAAGCAGTCTGTGGTCCTGTGAACCTCTGGCCTTTGCTTTTCTGCCCCAGACTGTGGCATTATAGATACCTCTCCTTTGTCTCTCCAGAATACACTGAATGACACTTGTCCCAGCAGAAATTCCCCGGATGGCACCCTTCTTCTGTTTCTTAACACCTTTACATTCTTAAGGCATTTGGTCATGCTGTTAATAACTGCCCCTGCCCTCTGTGAAAACCTCAGTAGACCTCAAAGTGCACAAACTAAGCCTTAATGGGAAGGGAATAGGAAATGAGAGTGGCAAAAGGTAGCACAGCATAAATATGTACTGGTTTCTGCTGGTTCCCCCAATCTGGAAGAGATGAGAGCTCATCCTGATGGCCTCAGGTCATCTGGGCAAGGTAGATAAGGAAAGGAAGTCCTCCAAAGGTGGATAAGGAAAGGCTTTCTCAAAGTGTGTGCATCTGAGTAGTGCAACTGGTGTATACAGAGGAGGTGTCCAGCAGGAGCTAGATGAATTTGCAGGAGAGAGCTCTGGCACCAGGCACTGAGCTTGCCCCCATTGTTTTCCCAACACCCAAGGCATTTTAAGGAGATCCCTCAGGGGAGGCTGGCGGAAAGCAGTAGGGGAGCAGGAGATGCACACCTGAAGTCCTCCAGTGTCACGTTTTTGGTGTTGTTGATGATCTCCACGCCCACACTGCGGCAGACTTCTATATTTCCCATCAGGCTTTCCAGGTCGGGCTGCAATTTAGGATTGTTACACTTCTGCTCCTTCTTGGCTGCCATCTTCCCTCTGATCGTGCTGCAGGAGAACTGCAGGGCTGTGGAGCAGCGGAGGCTCTGAACTAAGGCAAAAGTGAAACAAGAGAATGGGCAGGGCCACCTCCTGCTATGGGAGCTGAGAGCATTGCTCCTCCCCAGTGTCTGCAAGGCTTCTCAGGGCTGATAAAGGGCAGCTCCTGTGAACGGAAATTGTGGGTGGTTTCGAGCAGAGGGCTGTGAATCTCTCCTCCATCCTTATCCCTGGTTCTGGAAGCATTTAGCCCTAGAGACTTGCCAGGTGTCCATGGCCAAAGTCCATCGCCTTGTCAAGCCCTGCTGCTGATGCTTAGAAAACAACATGTGCACATCAAAAACAACCTCCCACATCCTGCCTGAGAGCAGCAGGAAGCTTGTGCGGGACGAAGTCAGATAGAGCTGCTCAAAACACGGTCAGGAAATACCCGAGCTTGAAACAGCTGCATGTGCAAACGCCATAAACATCAGTCCTGGTTTTCCTGTTCTCTTCTTGGTGATCAGAAGTATCCAGAGAGATGGTTTCACATGTTAACGAGTGTATTTATGTGTAAAAATAGCAGTGCTTCAAGTCAGAGGGGTGCTTGCTTTGCAAAAATCGCCAAGCACCTGATTCTGCAGAATTATATAATTACTTAATGAAAAGGCCTTCACGTGGATTCTGACTCTGTGTGCTTACTGGCCAGGTGCACTGGGCACAAACCTATGAATAATGCCTGCATGTCCAGCTATATGTCACACACTTCATCTGTCCTTATTGTCTCTCCTGATGTTGTTTGTCCTTGTTGTTTGTCAGGCCACTGTCCTGACAAGCAGCTGAACCCAGCTACAGCCGGGAAACTGAACCACATTATTTATATGTGCAGCAAAGTCAACTGCCACATGATTTATTGCTAAACAGCGTGGTTTATTTGCAATGCAATGATTTATTTGCACTGCAATGCAGCATGAAATGTATTCAAAGTAATACAATGCAATTTATGGCAGGTTAGCTAAGTGCTGCTGATCTATCTTCATAGGAACAAGGGCATTCTTCAGTGAGCAGGACTTTTAATTCAAGATCCTTCCAAACACTGCTCTGTCTGTCATGCAAGCCCTTAGCTTTGACATCCCAAGTGCATAAGAGCATGGCTTCTGCTAAGGCTTCCTCCTTCACTGGGAAATGCATAAAACAGTTCCAGAGGAGCTGTATGCCAGAACTGATGAGCAAGCACTCACCACAGAGCACATCCCATGGCAGAGCGTGGTCACAGCAGGGCTGGAAATACTGGCCATGGACCACCTAGGGTGCCATGCCACCCTAGAGCAATGCACAGGAACCTGAAGCAGAAGTTTCCTGGTGAAACCCTCTCCCATCCTTCACACCAAAGAGTCAGGCTTCTTCTGTCCTGGTGCCATGGAGACAAGGTGTTGCTCCGTGTCATCGGTTTGCTGATTCTTGGTTTTCCACCAGGGCTTTCATGTTTGCCTAGGCAGTATTGGATGCAGTGGCAGTCACATGGACTTTACGTACGGTGACCTCCAGCTTTCCCTGGTGTTTGCTCAAGTTGGCTTTATGGAAAGATGCAGAGTTACAGGAGATGAAGGTGGGACTTGGCGAACAGGCAGGTCCCCGTGGAGCCTGGGGTCATACTGGGGTGAGTGGGGGTGGACAGGCCTCCTCCACCCACAGCAGGAACCCCTGTAGGAAGACAATGAGAGGGGATGGGGAGTTTGGTTAGAACAGCGGAGGGAATTGGCACGGCTGAGCACTGGGGTACAAAAGTGAATTACTTTGGGGTGATTTCTTCTATCAAATGATGGCTGGGCTGGAATGGGCAGAGAAATCATGGAGGAGGGAAGGATGGTGGATGAAGGATGAAGGATGACCCAGTGGGTGCTGGATCACATCTGTAGTGGAGTTGATTATCTTGATGCCTACACACCTCAAGACATCCAGGGCTGTCACCAGGTGCTCGATGTTTCTCTCTGTAGGAAGGGGGTTAGTGTGGCAGTGGGATAGGGACTAGCCCGTGTGGGCTCACCTTCCTTAGGAGAGCTGGAGGGAGGAGGAACACCCAAGAAGGAATAAAAGGAACCTCCTCTGCACCATTCACAGCAGCTCAGGGCCACGATCTTGGCTTTCTCTCCAGGTTGCCACATGTCCTGCATCCCTTGCTGCTGAGCCTGGGTCTGGGCACGTTCCAGGACTGGACACCCACCAGGGCGTGAGTGCAGGCAGCTCATGGGTGTCCCTCAGTAAGGTGTCAGAAGATAACCATGAGCTCTTCCCTCAACAAGCTTGAGGCGGTGACTGACAGCTGCCAGTCATCCTCAGAGTGGATGCGAGTGTGGCCAGTGTGAGAGGGAATGTGCAGCTCCCACGTTTCCATCAGCTCAGGTCAGCTGGAGCCAGGCCAGAGCAAACAGCAGCCGTGTTAGAAAGAGCTTCAGGCGCCGCTTTCTGGGCGCCGAGCCAAACCTCAGAGTGCTTCTGAGGGTAGAAATTTTCTCAAGTGCCTTTGGTTTCCATTTGACTTCGGGGAAATGAAAAACAGCCCCGAGTCTGTGCTGTGACAGAAGATCAAATAGCAGTGGGGTCATTTCAAACACAAACGGCCTAGGGCTCCTTGCAACCCCCTCATGTCTTTTACCTGTTAGCTCACCCCGAGGCAGAGCTTTCCTTTCCTTACCCCTTGGTCCAGAAGGAAAGCAAGGGAGAAAGCAAGGGAGGGTGAGGCGAACCTTTCAGTCTCGATGCCGAATTTGCATAGAGCACAAACCAGACCAAATAACTGGATGCTGATGCACAGAGACCAATGGCATGAGGTTCAACGTGCCCAAGTGCTGGGTCCTGCACTTTGGTCACAACAACCCCATGCAACACTACAGGTTTTGGGGCAGAGTGGCTGGAAAGCTGTGCAGAGGAAAAGGATCTGGTCGATGCTCACCTGAAAATGAGCCAGCAGTGTGCCCAGCTGGCCAAAAAGGTCAACAGCATCCTGGCTTGTATCAGGAATAGTGGCCAGCAGGACCAGGGAGGTGATGAACCATCTCTGGTGAAGCCTCACCTCAAGTACCATGTTCAGCTTTGGGCCCCTCACGACAAGAAGGACATCGAGGCCCTGAGATGTGTCCAAATAAAGGCTGAAATGCTGGTGAAGGGTCTGGAACACAAGTCTTATGAGTGGCTGAGGGAACTGGGGTTGTTGAGTCTGGAGGAGAGAGGAGAGACTTTATTGCCCTTTATAACTACCTGAAAGGAAGGTGTGGGAGCTGGGGATCGGCCTCTTCTTGCAGATAACTAGCAATAGGAAACAAGAGGGAATGGCCTCAAGTTGCACCAGGGGAGGTTCAGGTTGGACCCAACTGGCCACACTGAAGGGTTGCAGAATCACGGAATATTTAATGTTGGGAAGTCTGGAGATCTTCCTCTGGAGATCATAGAAGCATAGAATATCATGAGTTGGAAGGGACCCTTAAGGATCATCAAGTCCAACTCTTGACACTGCACAGGTCTACCCAAAAGTTCAGACCATGTGACTAAGTGCACAGTCCAATCTCTTCTTAAATTCAGACAGGCTCGGTGCAGTGACCACTTCCCTGGGGAGCCTGTTTCAGTGTGCAACCACCCTCTCTGTGAAGAACCCCCTCCTGCTGTCAAGCCTAAATTTCCCCTGCCTCAGCTTAACCCCGTTCCCACGGTCCTGTCACTGGTGTTAATGGAGAAAAGGTCTCCTGCCTCTCGACACCCACTTACGAGGAAGTTGTAGACTGTGATGATGTCTCCCCTCAGCTTCCT